GTAGAAAATAATAATGAATAATAAAGAGCAATGCATTTGATTAAAAATGAAAAACATCCAGACAAGTACGGCTCGATGAATCGAGCATTTATTTTGAAACAAGTAAGTCTTTAAACAAAATTACTGAAAATCTTAAATGCCTAGAATGGCTATAGAAATAAAATTTGCCAAGCTACCCAGGGACTCGGCGGGCCCAGGATGGTGTGGCGGTCCATTCCTGAGAACAACTCCCTTCTCCACAGTCTGAATAGTGAGGCCTTCTTCCTCCTCCTCCTCAATTATTGCACTGCAGTCCATGTCTTCGTCTTCCAAGAATAGATTCCTCATCCTAGCTAATGTTTCTTCTTCTGCGGTTCCCCATATTGTGCCAGCTTGGTGAAAAGCTTGATCCAGATGCGGCACTGGTTCCTTGAGAGGGTAATACGGTCCACGCCATGGAGGCGACCAATCCTTATACTCTTTCCATGTGTACTGGTATCCGAGCCCAAAAGTAGTACCATGACCCTTCAGCTGTATCGATTTAGTAATACCCTGGAGATTCTTCCGGAGCCCTTTCCCGGGTTCATACCCGCACCATGCCAGTATTCTTTCTATTTTGCTACTCCACCATTTGTCTTTCTCAACGGCGTTGGCACGTTTAATGTGATGATAGGTCTCCCCTCCTAGCCTTCTTCTGTTTTGGATAACCAGGATGGTTTGGCTGGTGTAAATGGGGTTCTCCCGTCCCCATGAATGATTACCTCCTGATGGTTCCATTCAAACGTTACTGCCTGATGCAAGGTTGATACCACAGCCCCAGCGACGTGTATCCATGGTCGTCCTAACAGCAGATTGTAGGATGCAGATATGTCCAGCACCTGAAACTCGACATCAAACCACGTAGGCCCTATTTGCAGATAGAGATTAATTTCTCCGATGGTAGCTCTTTGAGACCCATCAAAAGCCTTCACGTTCATGGTCCCTTCTCATATCTCGTATAGGCCTTTGCCCAACCTCTTCAGTGTTGTCAATGGGCAAATATTGAGACTGGATCCTCCATCAATCAAGACCCTGGTAATGAAGTAGTCTTCGTATCGCACTGTGATGTGCAGTGCCCTGTTGTGATTCAAACCCTCAGGCGGCAACTCATCCTCGTGGAAAGTGATTTTGTGACTTTCCAACACCTGTCCTACCATGTTAGCCATTTCTCCGCTTGTGATATTATTGGGCACATAAGCTTCGCTCAACACCTTCATTAAAGCGTTCTTGTGTGCTTCTGAATTTTGCAACAGTGACAGGATGGATATCTGAGCTGGGGTTTTGTTCAAATGATCAATGACGGAATACTCCTTTGCTTGTACTTTCCTCCAAAGGTCATCTAGCCCTGTTTCAATGACAGGCTGCTTGGCAGTGGCATCCTTACTTGGTCCTCCCAGGTGTTCAGGTGTATAGATTCTTCCGGTCCTAGTCATTCGTTGTGCGTCATCGGATTCCTCCATCTTTGTCTTTACTTTTCGCGTAGCTTCGGCAACATAATCCCAAGGTATTGCTTTTGAATTGAAAGGAGGTCTGGTTGATACTGTCACTGTAAAAGGTGCTACCACTTCTACTTCAAACGAAACAGGGGTGGCCGCGGGTGGAGCCACCTCTACCTCAAATGGAACTGATGTGGCTACCTCGACCTCGATTGGTGACTGAGTCTGTACTACAATAGGAGTCAGTGTAACTGAGGGTTTGAATTCATCACCTTCCTAGATAATCCCAATCGACCCCTCAGGATCCCACTCTTTGTTCGTCTCTATCACATGTATCCCACCACCTCTATGATCAGGGAGAGGGTTGTTGCGAACATTGGGCGTGACTTCCTATGCCTGTATGACCTTGTTGTCAATCAGCGTCTGGATCTTATCTTTCAATGCTCGGCACTCGTCAGTGGTGTGCCCCTTCATACCGGAATGGTACACACAAGTTTTGTTAGGATTGACCCATTGGGATGGATTCTCTAATGCCACAGCGGGAACAAGAGTGACGTAACCTGCGGCTTTCAACCTTTCATATAGCTGGTCAATGGGTTCAGCGATAGCGGTGTATTGTCTGGGCGGCTTGTGGTCAAAATTGGGTCGTGGTCTTGGATAATTTTGGAGAGTCGGAGGTGACTGGAAATGAGATGGTTGGGAGTTATAGGTATGATAGACAGTGGCTGGTTGGGAATATCTGGGAGATGATGGTTGATATGTAGGTGGTGGTGCTTGGTATGTGGATGGAGGTGTTTGATATGTGGGTGGAGGTGTTCGATAGGTAAGTGGAGATTTCGGGCCTTGAGCCACCATTACTGCCCCAACGTCTTTCTTCTTTGATATGCTGCCTAATTGTAATGCCTTATTTGTGGCCTGTAATGCCTCGAAATTCGTTACCATCCCGCTTTTGATACCTTCCTCGATTCTTTCCCCAAGTTTGATGATATCGGAGAATTTATGGTTTTCAATAACCATCATCTTTTCATAATATTGCAGATCTTGTGCTCTGACGAAGAACTTGTTCATCTGTTCCTCATCCAAAGATGGTCGGACCTTGGCTGCTTCCGACCTCCAGCGAGTAGCATACTCGTGGAAAGTCTCGGTGGGTTTCTTTTTAAGATTCTAGATGTAGAAAACATCAGGTGCATTTTCTGTGTTGAATCTGAACCGGTCCATGAAATCAGATGCCATACTCACCCAGTTGGACCATTTCTTGGGATCTTGGCCGATATACCAGGACAAATCATCTCCAGTAAGACTCCTCATAAAAAGTTTCATCCGGATCTTTTCATCTTTTCCGACCCCGACAAGCTTGTCACAATAGGTCCTCAGATGAATCCTAGGATCACCTGTACCGTCAAATATCTCGAACTTAGGAGGTTTGTACCCCTCTGGTAGTTCTACATCTGGCTGTATGCATAGGTCTTCATAGTTCAAACCTTCTATCCCTTTGCCGCCTTCGACACCCTGGACCCGACTTGTCAATTTCTTGAGTTCTTCGGCCATGTTTTTAATGAGCAGGTCCTTCTCAGTTGATTCTGGTGTATAGGAAGTTGGTTGAGTAGAGTGAGGTACGATTTCCACATATATAGGATTGTTTTGATGAGTACCAGGGACTTGGGTGTAGTGATGGTCATTGGTTGAGTTTTGAGGATCGGGAATGGGTTGTGGTGTATTTTGGGGAGTGTGGTAAGTGGCAGTTGGTGGGTATTGGATTGATTGGTGGTGGTGTTGTGGCGGAAATGGTACCGGTAAGGGATTGAGATTTTGAGGTGGGGTTGCATATTGATGCAGTGCAGGAGGGTTTTGTGGATGTTGGTTTGGCGTGTTTTGGGGAGGTGCTGGGTTCTTTGTGTTTTGTTGGTTAATGTCGGGAACATTCAAAGTGAGGGATAAATTTGCCAAATTGCGGACCTGCTCAAGCTCTCCTTGTAGCTCCAGTATCTTTTGTTCCAATCTCAAGACTAGATCATTTGGCGCCGGAGTACTCCGGCCATCTGAAGTTTCTGCGTTCTCAACATTCTCCTTTCGGATACCACTTAAGTCGTCCATTTTTGCTTTTCCTTTGCCTTTTGTATTGCTAGAAGGAGGAGGAGGTGGAGGGCCTCTAGGTTTGGTATGATACGCTGATGATGCCAGTATGAGTGAACCAACCTTAGGGGATGGGAATAAAGAATAAAAGGAAAACAAAAGGGTAAATAAGTCAATAGGGGTTCTGAAATGTTTGCAGTATTTAAACACATATGGAGAGAATGTAAATTCGCGTCCTAATTTGGTAGCCTTGCTGTGCCCGAGGTAGGCCTAGCAACAAATAGATTTGGAGAATTTTAGATGCCAGTAAATGCCTCATTTCATAATATGAAAATAGACGAATCCCAAAACAACACTAAGATAATAGAAAAAAGTCACTATTGACACTTGGCCTTATTACATTTTAGGAAAGCAAATAAATCTAGCCTATTTGGTCCCAGAAGGACCTTCCCCAGATTTGATCTTCCTGACTCGATCATACAGGTTCCCCAGCTCGCGCAGACCCAACAACAAGTAGGCTCTGGCTAAATGTCCTCCTTCACTTCCTTCAGCGTTCTGGCAATCCTCAATCCTCTTTATGACCTTACCCTTCAGCTCCACTAATCCTCGCTCCAGATATTCCAACTTTCTGTTGGAAGTGACTGCTATTTCTTTCCATTCTTCGATCAACCTCACATTCCTCTCGTGTATTTCCCGGTGCTCATTCTCAGAGTCGTGGACCCTCTTGCGCATCCTGTTGTATTTGACTTGAGCTTCAGCTTCTTCATCTATGATCCTATTCCCTCGACCGGCTCCTGGCCTCCCCATTCCCTTTAGATTGTCTTCTAGCCATGCCGGGTAGAGAGATTCGCACCTTGCATGATACCTGTCAGGCTCAATGGTGTTCTTTTCCATAATGATTTTGTAGTGCCACATGTGCTGGGCTTGACACTTGTAAGGGACGTCGTCGTCTTGAAAGTCTGCTCTGAAATGACTCATCTTAGCAACCCTTGGTACAACCTATTTCCTGCCTGCCTACCTCATAACTCGGATAGGGACATAAAGGTATATTCCTCTCAACCCAATCAGCACCAAGAGTGGAGCGTCCCTGGATGTGATGATGAATTCGTCTGTTGGGAACCATTCAAACATCCATTGCACTTGTTCCTCGGTCATATTGTCGAAGAACTCCACCCACTCTTTGGCACTTTCCGGCTGAGCAAACCTGTCCGGAATGTAAGTCATCCGCTTGGGGTGATGGAAGGCAATATGGTCATTCCAAGCCCTTCGCAGAAGTTCTTGGCGATACTGACCCCTTTGAAGATGTTCTAATAACCACAACCGCAGCAATAGGTTACAACCTTTGAAATGCTTGATCCCCTTTTGACAACGCCCCAGAGCCCTGTAGATGCCGGCTATGATCATGGGGACTATAGTGTATGTCTGTCCGTTGATCCCTTCCATCAAAGTCTTGGCGACCATGGCCAACCTAGTATGGATTCTTTCTCTTTTCGTTGGGAATACTATCAGGCCCAAGAAGCACACAATGAACACGAACACTCTACGGTGGATGTGGCCCAGAGAAGTGATGGAAAACTCGTCATGGAAGGTACGGTAGGACTTGCTATGTCCATATCTTTCATACAGGTATTCGAAGGGTATGTAGGATTCCTTCAGGCATCCCTAGTCAGCATTTTTCTTCAGCCCCATCATCTTTAAAAACCCTTTACCAGTACGATTCTCTGGCACCAATAACCCAGGGCTATCCCAAGTTAGTCCCGCAAGTCCCCCAATTTCTTCTAGGAGTGGTGTCATTTCTTTGTCGCCGAAACGGAACACACCCCTTTCACTATCCCAGAACAAAGTGGCAGCCTCGATCAACCTATTGTTTGGCTGAATGTCTAGTAGAGAAGGCAAATTGCCCAAGTGCTTTCTCACGTGTTTCTTGTCACTTGAGGAAAGGTCCTCCCACCAATCTAGTAGCAATGGTGGAATGTTGCTGACCATACCGAATCTGGGGACCTCATGCCTCATTTTCTGCAAAACAAAAAGGTTAGGCCCTTCTCCTCTACTAGACTCGACTATTTGTACATTCATGATTAGCATATTAGCATTTAGTTCTCCAAATTAATGCACAGAACGTGATTGTGTCCGTTGGATTAAGGAGACCCCGTTGGACTTTGGATAAGGCTCGTCTTAAAGGATTATTATGTGGACAACATATTAATACGACTAGGTTTGACCATGATGCATGCACAGTTATGATAAGAGTAAGGTTACTATGAGGGTCTAGACTGGTACCCTCAAGCGGACAACTTGAGGGAGAAAGGCACGGAACCGTCGACTGCACCGCTGATCGACTAGTTTCACCGCAATAAGCCTTTCCGAATTTAAGGGTAATAAATTGGAAGAGCGCAACCACTCATCAAGTGTTGCTATAGGATTTGATACACACGAGTGGAATATGATGTATGCAACAATAAACACCATATTGTCAAGTATTTGCACGTAAAAATAATAAATGCAGTATTTAAATAATTGAAAGACAATTGCAGAAGAAGAAAACAAAGAGATAAGTCAGTCTTAGGAAAATAAAGAAATCATAAATGCTTAAAAATAAACAGTTAAATTCAAATAAGGGGAAAGGGTACGTGGGATAGAGCATGCTTAAACTGATTCATAAAAATAAGTTCGTTATGGTAAGAGCCTAGAATATCTCCAGCAGAGTCTCCATGCTGTCGCGCCCCCTTTTTTTCCCTTTTGCGGGGAAAGTCCGGGTTTCGACATTTCATCGGGAACAACTCGTTTCCTTTTGGGAATTGGGTATTTCAAGAGTCGCCACCTAACGGATTATGGTGCGTTAGGGCACCTAAAGTATGTAACTAGTTGCATTACCAGATATTAGGGTAAGGGCTCGAAATAATCTCGAGGGGAAGGTGTTAGGCACCCCTCGCGGTCCACAACGGTGGGTCCCGACCGAACTTATATGAATCAATCATTTTGAACAAGTAAACAGTTTCAACACATATTTGCAAATGAAGGCATGTTTTCATATTCTAAATGCAGGTACGATTCAAGTAATGAGAGCAAAAGAGAGATTTGAACAACTCGCACATATGTAAAGAAAAGTGAATTCATTTAAACAACGGGAGTTGGGAAAGAGGGGTCCTAGGTTGGTTAGCCTATAGGATCATACCCACACAATGCCCGATAATCACTCCTCAATGAGGGGCTACACGTGACATTAGCGCGTAGTCATCATATCCTTACTATCCAATTCCCTCCCCTTGGTCATAGCCTAAAGCGTTCTATCAACCTTGAAAGATATCATATGCGTGCACTACCCGTCCCTTCCTTGTGGCCCTGGAGGTATTTAGGACCTCTAATTAGGTAGTTCTAGACCCTCCTATGGTACTTAAAGGAGAAAAATCTAGGCGTCAACCAAAAACAATTAGGACTGCACTAAAGAGAGAACGATTAAAGGATCACATTTACCTCCACAAACAGAGCAAGCAAGTGCACGTCTTAAACACAGTTTTAGGTATTTAAAAGAGGCCCTAGAACAGGATATCTAGGTGAGCAAAGAATATGTAGTATTGAGTTAGGACCAAGGTTTAAAACAACTTAATCCATTTGCCTACTAATTCTTAAACCTGTTGAATATGAGCAGTATCAACTATAAGACGTAGTTTTATAGTTTGCAGAATTTTAGTCGCCCTACAGGCTTTCCTAGGCGTATAATAGTGATGTCCTATGAGCATAGTATCTAATCATTGATCAGTAATGTAGTAAAACAGTAAGCAACCTTAAATGGGCAATTTGAATCCTATAAGCATGCTTTCTAGTGATATTGATTAATGCAAGGTTGAAAACTTATTAAAGAAACAAACGGATTGGTTAATGATTCAGAATCTACAAACATGAGTTAAAATGGTTTTAGATCTAATTAAAGCTGATTTAAATCCTATAGGCATGATTTCTAATTAAACATAAGGTGAAACAAGTAGAATTAATTTGACCAAAAGCGAAATCCCTATAGGCATGATTTCTATTAAAGCTGATTTTAAATCCTATAGGCATGATATCTAATTATATGAAATGGAGCAGGTAGAATTCATTTCAACCAAGAAATCCTATAGGCAGATTGTCTAACACAGCACATGTAAATCAAAATAAACCCTATAGGCATGTTATACACCCAACTTTACCCACAATATACAACTACTCTCCCTTTTCACTAGTCACCACAATGTTTGTTTACAATTAATTATTACAGACCAAGAATTGAATGAATTACATAAATATAAATATATATATTAAACTATAGGGAGACTGAAGTAGGCCCAAAGTAGTTTCCACGCCTTCAGTAGCCTCAAGTGCTCAAAGTTCCATAGCCAATTTCATGTCTAGGTGAGTTAGAGTTCCCTAAGGACCTCAAGGATACCGGGCAGTGCTCACACCCAAACCTTTCTCAAATAAGAACTGATTTATGTGCAGTGTGGAAATGCCAGCCCTGATATGCCAGAGTTCAGAGAGATCTCAAGGGTCTCAAGTCAGTACACATACCAGAGGGGTAGGACTTTGTAATCTAAGAGTAATGTGAGAGTGCACAATGATTTGAAAAAGTTTGGTAAACAGTATAAAGGAAGGTCTTAGGAATGAAAAAGAGTTTCTAAAAACCTGTACTGGTTTGAGTAAAATAGTAGTTGGAAAATCATGAAAAAGAACATCTTGAAATCAAAATACCAGTCCCAGAACAGCCTCAGAAAACACTTTGGCAAACAGACTTCACACAAGGAGAAAGGGGTAGGGGACACATAGAATGCAACTTAGTGATAGCAAACGAATACACAGATTCCTCAAGAAGTTGTGGAATTGACAAGTTAGTTACAAAGATTACAGCAAAGATATGTTGAGAACACATAGGTCTTAGACATGACCAATACACACAACTAGAATACCTTTGAAAGGGCTAAATGTCTTAACAGGATCTCATTAGTGAAGTAGAGTAGGTAAGACTTAGATGAATAAATTAGACAAGCACTTCATGAAGAATTAAAAGTTTAGAAATACTAATCACATATAGAACAAGCAGAATTTAGACATGCTGGGTGAGACAGTAAACAAACAATGCAGCTTGGACATACTAGTGAACAAATAGGTTTCATGCAATTATCTAAAGCAGGATTGGGCATGCTAAACAGTATACTAGTTATAGCTTTTAACAGAACAAACTTAAACATGCTGAGTGATACAGTAATTAGGCAGTGTGATCTAAGCATGTTGGTTACACATTAAGCATATGACAGCAGAATAGCAAATAGAACTGGAAATCACAACTAATGAACTGCAACAACAAAGAAACACAAAGTTTTGGAATGTGAATTGAATCAGGAGATACCAGTCAAGGAGAGAATACAAAGTATAGAGCAGAGAAGGTGCAAATCGCCAGCCTTGGCTTACAGCCGGCTGGATTAGTGAGAATTGCAAGTAATAGAAGAGAATAGAGAGCCTTTGAGAGTGTGAGAGTGTGGAGAAACTAATGTTCGTGTGTAAAGGTTAAAATAAAGAGAGTTTATATAGTAGCTCAAGAGTAGAGCAAATAAGGTAAAGCAATCAACAATCATTAATTAAGGAATTTCAGAATCAATTAGACGAAGATTCAGCATAGTTTTCTCCTTTAATTAAGGAAAATCAACCAACGTTAATGGCAGGAACTAATTAAGGCAACAGGTTCAATTATACCGAGTAAAGAAGTAAGAATCAGAGATCTTATTAAGGAAAAAAGTTCAAATCAAACCAAAAATAAAGAGCTTCGGAGTACAATAGTCAAGGGTTTAATTAAGGAAAGAATCATGCAAGGATTCATCAAGTATTGCAGACAATTTCAAATAAGGCAAGAAAGGAATAGTCAGGAAACAGATTGATAAATCAATAATTCAAATCAACACTAATTTAAGGGTGAAAATATAGGTTTACCATGAATAGGCAAAAATGAATATAGACACATAGAATCGGTAAAAAGTCGAACCAAGAACCTTAATAGAGGCACATTAGGATAAAAATCACAAGACATCTAATTAGGCTAAAGAAAAATCACAGGAACCAAAGCATAGGACAAAGTCAGTACACAGTAAATCGGACAAACTCAGAATCCAAACAAAATGTCGAAAAATTAGGGTTTTTAGCATAAACAAGTTGGGGTTAAAGCAAAATCTTACGAAATTGGTTAAAACACATAAGAAGCATGAGATTAAACACTCAAAATATCAAACGTCTTGGAGAAAGAAATTTTCAGGGAAACCCTAGTTTAGAAAAAATGGAAAACCATTCAAAAATCAGAAGGTTCTTTTAAGACTCATGTAAAATAGGTTTGATCTATCTCAGATCTTGCACAGATCTGAGAAGTTCAAAGGACAAAAATTAGGGTTTCGAGAAGAACGACACAGAGGTGAAGAAACAAGCTTAGAAATCCATAGATCTAAGGCGACATAGGAAGATCTTACTCAAAATCGAACCGGAACAGCCTGATACAGGCGAGCAAAGACCACGGGCGCAAGCAGACTAACCCTAGTCCCTTGAGGACCCTAGAGATGATGATACCAGCATAGGAGCGGGCCGTTAGAGGCCTGGGGGTGATGAGAAACCACCATGAATGGCCATAGATGAGTGACAGCGATGGTGGATTAGGGTTAGGATTTGAGAGCATTGGAGAGGAAAGGGGTTTCAAGACGGCATTATGGAGGAAATGATTAGGGTTTAGGGGGTCGTTTGATTAATAAAGGTAAGTGTTGATGTGGACCGTTGATCTAAAGGATCAACGACCATAATTTGATGGGGATCTTGGGTCGGGTAGGTGCAGATTGGGCTTGGGTGAATTGGGCTGGTATTAAAGGGGTTAAAACTGGGCAGATTTAATAGGCTAGGTCCGAATGAAAAAGGGCTATTTGTTAAATACATAATTAATTGATAAAACAATTTTTAACAAATAGTTAATAAATTATAAAAAATGATTTTCATGCATGGAAATTTTTTAAAGTAATTATTTAATATTTTAAAAATGTAAAAGGCTATTTTACGGTAAAATAATGTAATAATTCATGCATAGACTATAATTGCAAAGTAATTGCAATTGCATCCAAAAAAAATACAAACGTGGCTATTTGTGCAATAATTGAAGCTTAATATAAATGCAAATGATAAAATTAAGCCACAAAAATTATTATAGAACTATTTTGTGATGCAATCAATGATTGTTTTTTAAATAAAATGCTGGGATAAATTAATTAAAAATATTTTTAAAATACAGAAATTGTATGAAAAATACTAATTGGTGCCAAAGCATAGTTTTGAAAATATTATGGGAAAAATTGGGTATCAACAAGGGTTTCTAAAAAAATTTCTCTCCTTTGTGCAGGTTGTTAGAGAAGGATATGATGTTCAAGTTTGACGATGCTTGTCTGAAGGCATTCGAGGAGCTGAAAAAGAAATTAGTGAGTGCACCAATCATAGTGGCTCCTGACTGGAACGAGCCATTCGAGCTGATGTATGATGCCAATGATGGTGCGATTGGGGCCGTATTAGGCTAGAGGAGGAGCAAAATATTTCACTCAATTTACTACGCAGCAAGACTCTCACTCCTACTGCTCAAATAAATTATACTGTGTCAGAAAAGGAGTCGTTTGATGTAGTGTGGGCGTTTGATGAATTCCGGGCCTATTTGGTTGGCACCAAAATCATCGTCTACACAGACCATGCAGCCATCAAGTACTTGTTTGAAAAGAAAGATGCTAAACCAAGGCTAATCCATTGAGTTTTACTCTTGCAGGAATTTGACTTGGAGATCCGAGACCTTAAAGGAACAGAGAATCAAGTAGCTGATCACTTATCCAGGTTAGAAAGTCGGAGTCATGTAGTTGAGGGAGATGTCATCAAGGAAACCTTACCGGATGAGTAATTGTTGGCCGCTACTGCTGGGGAGGTGCCATGATATGCAGATTTTGTGAACTATTTGGAAAGTGGAGAAATGCCGCATGACCTTGAACCGCATGCTAAAAAAAGTTTTTGCGAGATGTGAGATCATATGTGTGGGATGAGCCATTTCTGTTCAAATCTTATGCTGATCAGTTAATGAGAAGATGTGTGCCTGAATCTGAAATAAATGCTATTTTACATGACTGTCATGCGTCCCCTTATGGTGGTCATCATGCGGGTGACAAAAAGGCACCAAAGTGCTGCAATCAGATTTCTATTGGCCTAGGTTGTTTAAAGATGCCCATGAGTTCGTGAGGAGGTGTGATAGATGCCAGAGAACGGGAACAATTACAAAAAGGCATGAGATGCCATTGCATGGTATTATGGAGGTTGAAATTTTTAATGTTTGGGGAATTGATTTTATGGGTCTGTTTCCCTCTTCCAATGGGTGCAAGTCTATTTTAGTGGTCGTTGACTATGTGTCGAAGTGGGTGGAGGCCATTGCTCTTCCTATAAATGATGCCAAGGTTGTGGTTAACTTTGTGAAAAAGCATATCTTTACAAGGTTCGACACTCCGAGAATGATGATAAGTGATGTGGGCACCCATTTCTATAACAAGCTGTTGGATAATATCTTAGCGATATACGGGGTCAAACACAAGGTTGCGACATCCTTTCATCCTCAAATTAGTGGACAAGTTGAGGTATCAAATAGAGAGATAAAGCAGATTCTTGAGAAGATAGTTAGTGCAAGTAGGAAAGATTGGGCTGCAAAGCTTGATGATGTTCTATGGCATATCGGACCGCGTACAAAACTCCAATCAGAGCCTCCCCTTACAAGCTGGTTTATGGGAAGGCATTCCATTTATCGGTGGAGCTTGAATACAAGGCCTATTGGGCGATAAAGAAGCTGAACTTTGATGCAAAATTAGGGGTGAAAAACGGTTGTTGCAATTGAACGAGTTTGATGAGTTTCGCTTGAAACGCGTATGAGAATGCCAAGTTGCATAAAGAAAAGACCAAGCGCTGGCATGATAAGAATATTCACACTCGCGAGTTCGAACCGAGCCAATTAGTTCTCTTGTTCAATTCAAGGTTGAGACTCTTTCCGGGGAAGCTCAAATCGAGATAGTCGGGTCCGTTTGAGGTAGTAAGAGTTACTCCACATGGTGCAATTGAGTTGCGCATCATAGAGGGAGAGAGAACATTCTTAGTGAACGCACAAAGAGTAAAGCACTATTATGGAGGTGACTTTGATCGTCATAAGTTGAAGGTGTTACTTGCCAACGATTAGGCGAGATTGTGCGTCATGCCGCGACGTTAAATCAGGCGCCTGTTGGGAGGCAACCCGGCCTTACTATTTTCTATTATTTTTATTTTTATTATATTATTGTTATAGTGTTTGTTTTTATTTTGTGGGATTAGGAGCGTAGGAAGCAAAGCCATCGAATAAGTGAAAAAGAGAGCTAGATGGTGAGAACTAAGTGTGGGGTGCCCGCACAAAGAACCATGCCTGGGAAGTTTGAGTACCTCGTGAGCCGTGATTGCTTCAGCCTTCGGCCTTTCAGGGAGTTTATTGTCCATCCTTATTATTTTGTCTCTTCATTTATGCATTGGGGACACTGCACTCTTTTAAGTGTGGGGTGGGGGACTATCAGATTATAGTGGTATAGTTGTATTAACATTAACTTCTAGTCTTTAATTTTTAGCTTCTTATTTTTATTTCCTAGTTAGTAGAATTAGTAGTGTAGTATTCTCGTACTAGTTTTAGTAGCTTTTTATCGGGAAAAAAAATCAAAAATTCAAAAAAACATCAGAAAATTTTTGAACTTTTCCCGACGATGGATCTCTTGGACAACTTTCTTGAGGGATTAAGGTCCAATGCAAAATCCAAAAAACATATTTCTTTCTTTTTAGTTAGTCGTAGGTAGGTAATAATCTCCTTTTATTTTTCTTTGGGTATCGGTTCTTTTTCAAGGGATGTATCTTGAACCGGATATTTTTTTAGGAAATAAAAGGAAAAAACTTGATTGCATCTATGTGCCTTTTGACTTGTTAGATGCTAGCATAGTTAGGCCTTAGCATGCAGATTACCTCCCTAATATGTTTTGACAAAAATTGATGCCATAGGTAAATTGAACAGCTTGTTTATGACGCCTTCTCTCAGTTTCTTGACTCGTTGTTAGACCCACTGTGTTGTACGGGGTTGAGTGTTGGCAGTAAAGAATTCACATATCCAAAAGATGAAAGTAATCGAAATGAGGATGTTGAGATGGATGTGCGGGCATACTAAACTGGATAAGATAAGGAATGAGGATATTAGGGAGAGGATGGGCGTTGCTCCCGTGGACAACAAGATGCGAGAAGCGAGGCTTAGGTGGTTCGGGCACGTGTGGAGGAGAACCATAGATGCCCCGATTAGGAGGTGCGAGTGGTTTGCTTTGATAGGTGCGAGAAGAGGTAGAGGGAGGCCTAAGTAGTATTGGGGCGAGGTGATAAGGCATGACATGGCGCGACTTCAGATTTTCGAGGACATGGCTCTTGATAGGAACATGTGAAGGTCGAGCATTAGGGTTGTAGGCTATGGGGTAGTCGAGAATTTTTCCCTCTTTGTACCGGGTAGTCTGATAGAGTTTTGTCTAGGTCTGTTGGCGGTCTATGTTGTGTTCACATTATTTATGTTATTTTGCATAGTATTGTGTTATTGCCCTTTCACTTATTTGTTGTCCCTTACGATGTTGTTATTACCTATCTTGCTTCTTTTGTTGTTACAGACCTTTTATTTTGTTTCTTTTCTGATATTATTGTCTCTTCTGTTGAGCCAAGGGTCTCCCAGAAATAGCCTCTCTACCCTTTCAGGATAGGGGTAAGGTCTGCGTACACTCTACCCTGCCCAGACTCCATTAGTGAGATTTTTACTGGGTATGTTATTGTTGTTGTATGTGATTACTTACTCTGACTTGAGAGTTAGAACGGAACCACCCTGAATGGGTCATGTGCATTGTGTGATGTGAGATCTTGATTGTATCTTGTGCTATCCTGTGTTAGTATAGAACTTGCCCCGTGTGTTAGTTGAAGCGAAATCATTAAGCCTCGTAAGTCTAGGAGATGATATAGGCATTTCTTTGATCGTGCATTGAGCTATTATGCCACCACAAATAAAATTATCCTTAGATAGCCCAGTTGAGCCTTATCTTTGGCACCCACATTACAAGCCAAATCCCATTTTATTCTTAGTTAAACCTTGTTGAACCTTTGCCTCCAAAAGCATTTAAGTCACTGAAGAATAATGTGAGAGTTGGGGTAGCTTTTGAGTGGAACCATAGAAAGGCCAAAGGATGAACACATGTTTTGAAAGATCATTAGCTGGACACACTTAAATTTATGGAGAGTGTTGGAAAAAAAAGAGCAAAGAAAGTACAAAAAGAGAAAAAAATGAAAATAGAAAATATATCTCCTATCCATGTTGATCCAGGCTAGTAAATATATAGATGTGTTTAAAGAGAAAGGGCTAAATTGTGTATGGTTTCATGGCATGGCTTGAGTTGATCATGAAGAGTGTGCACTTGAAAGTTAAATGTAGTATATTAAAGTTCTTAAGAGGGTTAGTCAATATAAAAGAAAATATATCCTACCCGTCCTTCAGTCTCCATTACAACCTGTAAAGACCTAATTGATCCTAGACTTTGCAAGCTTAGATTAGTAGAGATATACACTATGGGCAAGCCTATGGTACGATCGTGGGATGCACACGAATTTCTTTGTGAGAGCGAGTGGTTCTTTGTTCATGTAGGTGATGTCCTTAAATTATATTCGAATGCCTATTTGAATGTGTGGGAGAAATACTCCCTTATTCTTTGGTGAGGCACATGATCCATGACGGCTAGGCGATGTTATTAAACATCTCTTGTTGGGTGAGAGTACAAGTTGAGAGGGCTTATTGGCGATGAGTCGGTCCTTGAGGTTGGGTGGTTATGAGCAAGTAGTTTGAGTGTTTTAAATTGTTTACCACTATTCAAGCACGAGAAGGCTGGTTTAATTGTTGGTATCAACCATGGTCATAGGTGTAGTGTATTGAAATGCTAAATGTTCCTCCGTTGTATGATGTCTTGCGTTGTATTGTTTGGTTAACAAGGTTTTATGTTGCTCGAGGACGAGCAATTGCTTAAGTGTGAGGTGGTGATGTTTGGCTAAAAATCCAAATTTATCATGTAATTTTCCTTGCATTATGTCTCGATCTTGTAAAATGTGGTGTGAATATTTGTGACTCGAGCTAAATAATGGTATTTATATGTATAGGCATCAATTGGAAGTGATTTGAAAAGTTTGCATACAAAGTGAAATAAAAAAATGAAAGAATCTGGAGGAAGTATAAGTTTGGTGCCTAGGTCCCGGATAGAGAAGTGAGGTTCACTTCGACAGACCGGGACCAGAGCAGAAGAAACCAAAAAAGTTACGGATAGCGAAGCGATGTTCACTTTGCCAGATCGGGACCGGAGCAGATGAAACCAACTTCTCCAATCCGAATTAGAAGAAGAAATTCGCCCCATACAAACCCTAATCTCTATAAATACATCCTAAAACGTGCTTTTCGGAGGAGAGACACTACTTTGTAAGGAGAGAAGACTTTGGGGACATTATTTGGAGGCAAGAACATCACGTGGAACAACTTTTAGAGGAGATAATCATCGAGTTCTTCATTCCTTCATCTTTTTTTTTTTGTAATTTGTTTGTGCAAAATACATGGAAAATTATTACTACGAACATGAGTGGCTAAGCAATCTAGTTTCTAGGGTTGTGGTTGACATGATTATTAACGTTTATTAATTACATCTTCGTTAATTCGATTGATCATCTTGTGGTTGTTTCTTAATTCTAGTTTTAACTTGTGAATTGTTGTGGCTACCAATTCATCCTAATATCTATGTTATGCGTGGGAAAGCCGTGTTTATACTCTAGCCATCTTTCATGTTTCTTAATTCATCAGTATTTAAACAGTAAAATTATCTAGAGAGTTTTGCTAAGTCCTATAAAAGTATATATATTATTGCATTCTGCTTTTACTAGTGATTTTTACATGACATTTAAAAAAATACCGAAAATTAACCGAACCGTACCAATACCGAAAAGAAACCGACATGATTGGGACGGTTTTCAAAAGTTAAATTTTGGTTATACATAATAAAATAACCGAAAAATTGGTATGATATAAATTTTATAAAATAACCGGCCAAACCGAACCATTGACACCCCCAATAAGCAAAGAAAAAGAAAAATCAATTTAGAGTGAATATTCTTTGCTCCTAATCTTAAACGTTCGTATATCTCCGGTTGCTTTGAAGAGGACGACAAACTCTCGGGGCAAATTTATTTATGGGAAAATGATATTGTATAGATGCTCTCAAAATAATAGTTGAATATATATATATATATATATATATATATATATA